CCATTTGCCAAATGCACCCGAACGCACGGGAAGCTTACCCGAGGCACAGGTTGACAATAATGAGGCCGTTTCCAGAATTGGGCATTTTGTCACTCAAGTAAAAATAAAATGTCATGAGTAAAGATTAATCTCTTTATAGTGCAATTCTTAACCTTTTTATATTAATGTCAATATTGGAATGATGTATCTTGGATGTTTTCACTATCTATCTTTGCTACGCAACACCAATGTACATGTTTACATCCGGTTTTAGAATTGCATTATTGATCATGAGTAACGTGAGTGATGCCCAACTCTGGCCATTGCGGGAGACAGATATTTGAATTATGCAACTTTTTGTCTCTGTCGATGTGTGTCATCCAAAATGAGTTCATGTGTCACCTCTGACACGCGTGTCATAGGTTCGCCATCACTGGACTAAGACCATGTGCTGGCCCTTTAAGAGGCACTGCTGGGTTTCCAGCAGCCTCAGTGTTACTCAGCCACAATCCCCTCTGGTTTTTAAAGCCTAAAGTTACAGGGACCTCTCTTCCCATCTCTGTAACCTTGGAGTGGGAGTCTGGTGTGGGGCTGGAACCGCCTGCTTCTCATAGGTGGCCTCCGCAGTGAAGATACCCCTCCTGATTAAAAACACGACGCAGGTGGGTGTTGGACCAGCTCCTTCTGCGCCTCTGCCCCTCCTACCAGCCTCAATGTTCTTTCTTCTTTGCTTCTCTATTTGTAAAACTTCCATTCAGCCAAGTTTCAGGTGGTTCTGAGTGATGCTGGTTCTGTACTTTAGTTGTAATTTTGATGTGCTTGTGGGAGGCAGCAAGTATCGCCATCTTGGTTCTCCCAAGATTTTTAAAAGTCCTACAACTCAATAATAAAGAGGCAAGCAACCCAGTTTCAAAGATAAACAAAATATTCAAATAGTTTATCAAAGCAGATATATAAATGACTAATAAAGACATGAAAAGTATGCAACGCCATTATACATCAGGAAAATACAAATTTAAGCCATATGAGACACCCCTACCCTCCGCCAGGAAGGCAAAAATTAGTCTGACAATACTGTTAAGGATGTGAAGCCACTGTTGGTGAGACTATAAAATGGTATGATCAGGTTAGAAATATGTCTGCCATTTGTTTGCTCAAATAAGTCTAAACACACATCTATTCTATACTAGAGGCCCGGTGCACAAAAATTTGGGGCCTGGGGGGGGGGGGGGTCCCTCAGCCCGGCCTGTGCCCTCTCGCAATCTGGGACCCCTCGGGAGATAATGACCTGCTGGCTTAGGCCTGCTCCTGGGTGGCAGAGGGCAGGCCCAATCCCTAGGTGCAACCCCTGGTCGGGCTCAGAGCAGGGCCAATTGGGGAGTTGGGGCGCCGCCCCATCATGCACAGAGCAGGGCGGATTGGGAGGTTGTGATGCCTCCCTCAGTCACGATCAGGGTAGGGCCGATTGGGGGGTGGGGGCACCATCCCCTGTCACACTCAAGGCAGGGTCGATGGAGAGGTTGCTGCACCTCCCCCTGTCATGCACAGAGCAGGGCCAATCAGGGGGTTGGGGCGCTGCCCCCGTCACACACACAGCAGGGCCCGTGGTGGAGGGGGGGGCGTTGGGGAGCTCCCCCCTATCAGGCACAGAGCAGGGCTGATCAGGGGGTTGGGGTGCCTTCCCCTGTCACGAACAGAGCAGGATGGATAGGGAGGTTGTGGCCCCGCCCCCTGTCACACACAGAGCCGCAGGGCAATCAGGGGGTTTGGGCGCTACCCCCTGTGACGGTGATCCCGGTGCCGGGAGGCATATTACCCTTTTACTATATAGGATAGAGGCCTGGTGCATGGGTGGGGGCCAGCTGGTTTGCCCTGAAGGGTGTCCTGGCTCAGGGTGGGGATCCACACTGGGGTGCCTGGCCAGCCTGGGGGGGGGGATGTTGGCTGTTTGCAGCTGGTCACACGCCGTTCAGGGTGGGGGTCCCCACTGGGGTGCCTGGCCAGTCTGGGTGAGGGGCTGAGGGCTGTTTACAGGGTGGGGGTGACTGAAGCTCCCAACTGCTCCTTTTTTTCTTTTTCTTTTTTTTATTCTGGGCCAGGTTTAGCTTTGATGCTTGGCTCCAGCTCTTAGGCCTCCACAGCTGAAAGTAGGTTCCTGGCCTTTGCTTACAATGTTGCGAATCTGCTGGCTGAAGTCCAGTGGTATTTGTTAAAATGTTTCAAACTGCAGGCTCAGAGGCCTGCAGCGGCAGGCAGGAACGTTGGAGCCCTCCATCACTGAGGCAAGCAAGCCTCATGTTAGTTTCAAGCTGCCTGGCTGCCAGCCGCCATCTTGGCTGACAGTTAATTTGCATATCTCCCTGATTAGCCAATGAAAAGGGTAGCGGTCGTACGCCAATTACCATGTTTCTCTTTTATTAGTGTAGATGAGTCATCAGTGGCACTCCTATGAATTACCCTAAAGAAGGAAAACATATTTTCACAAAAGAGATGTGTAAGAATGTTTATAACAGCATTATCCATATTAGCCAAATAATTATTGGGAACAGTCAGGTAATTTTCAACCAGAAAATTAATGACCTCTGTTATATTTACACTGTGAAATATTGCTCAGTGAAAAAAAATGAATTAACTACTGAAAAAAGCAGTTACATTAATGAATCTTATTCTTTCTGATAAAAGAAGCCTTATGGAAAAGAGTATAATCTTGTGGGTTTTATTTATATGAAATTATATTACAGGCAATATTACCCTATGGTGAAATCAGAAAATAAAATGTATCTCTGAGGGAGTGTGATCAGGATCGACTGGAAAGGGGCATGAGAGAACTTTCTGGGGTTGAGGCTCTTGATTATCTTGTATGTGGTTTGGATTATGAAAATTGTATTTGTCAAAATGTATGTACTGTTAAGCAGATACACAGTTAAAATTTGTCCATTATATTGTATCTAATTTTACCTCAAATAAGAACTATAAACAACTAGTAAATGCTGAAGTATTTTGGTGGAAGTGTACTTATATTTCCAACTTCTTTGGCAGTGCATCCAAAGATTAGATGTATTGATATATATAAATTACATAGGTATTACATATGAATGTATGGAGATATATTCATTTAAATTAATATGTTATGTAGTATAAATTACATATGTATACCTCATTTTTTTAATGTATACTTGTCAGTCTCTTTTTGAGCCATAAATCCATTCTTTTACTCTGTTCTTTGATGCTGTAGCTACACTTCTGTTTTTCCAGCAGGCTCTATATAAGACTCTACTGTTAAAGCACAGGACTTGGGGAAGAAATTTGATCTTTCCTGTTGGCTTTCTGTCTGCTTGTAGTTCCTATGAGTGACATCCCAGCAACACTTCTTTGTTTGGCAGTAGCACTTTCTTCCTATAGCAGCAGCCAAATACAGTTTGCAGATTGTCCAACAGTTTTCAAAATCAGCCTCATCACACCCTCTCAAAGGTGAACCAGCTCCATGTGGCTGGAGCTCCTTCTCAGAAATCTAGGTCCAGCCCCAGAGGGCCCTTCTCTCACACTCTGGGACAGCACCAGCTGACTCGTGCGTTCTCCTCAGAAGTTTGGTGTTCAGCCCCACAGGACCTCTCCTCTAAGTTTATAATTTTTAGTAATTATAAACTCTTGCTTTTGTTCCCTTAGTCCTAGGGCTGGTGGCTGCTTGCTGCTGTTGCTACCTGATACCTTAGAATTTTCCTACCCTTTCTATTTTCTGCTGTACCTTGAACAGATACATAGCTCTCTATTATGTTCATATACCATAGTTTATGCAGTCTCCTATTTATGAGCAATTGATTTCAATATATTTCCACCACAGATAACATTAACAACAAACGTGTACATACCTTTTCTTCATATTGTTGGAGATATATATTTCAAGTCTGTTCCTGGAAGTAAGATTGCTGAATCAAACAGTAAATGCATATGTAATTTTGTTAAACATTACAAGATTCTCCATTACAGTTGTGCCATCTTGCATCCTACAAGCAATGAATTAAAGTGCCTTTTTGTCTATAATCTTGCTAACAGAGTGTGTGGTTAAGCTTTCTGATTTTTCCAGTGTGATAGGTAAGAAAAACATCGCTGTGGTTTTAATTTGCATTTATTTTACGTGTGACATTGAGAAACTTTTCATGTATTTGTGGGCCACATATATATCTTACTTTCGTGAACTGTCTGCACATTGAGAGGACTTCAGATGTAGATGTGATTGGAGCATCTATATTATGTTGGGAGTCACTGCCATTTCCAGGCATTCAGTATCATGTTGACATCAGATGAGTCTCCTCTTTCAAATCACATGGTTTTCCTTATGTTCTTAACTGTCCTTTATTTCTAATATTTGCTTTTCAGTTTGTTCAGTTTTAAGCATAGTTTGTTTCCTATTGCTACTTTTAGGTAAAATACCATCTGCGTTTTGTTAGGATACAAAGGACTATCCAACGTCCAAGCCCGTCAGGCTGGAAAACATCCTTACTCTTTCCTATTTACCCCTCTTCAGGACCCAGGAACCCAAGAGACCATGACGGAGGGAGTCCTGGTGAGTAGATATTTAAGCAAATTTATTTTATTATCCCAGTTGATACTAGCATATACATATATATATACATACACACACATATACATATATACACACACACACACATAAATATGGTTTTATGTGTGTATATACATATACAACTATCCTATATAATAAAAGCCTAATATGCTAATATTATGCTAAGGCTGCTCATAACAAAGAAAAATCAACCAAAAAATAGGTTCGCCATCACTGGACTGGTAGGTTAGCTTGCTGCTGGGTTCCTGCCAGTTGGGACTGAGTGAGATGGGCCAGACATGCCCTGGAGCCCTCCCATGTCCCCTCCCCAGCTGGCCAACCTCCTGCACCCCTCCCCGGCCCTGATCATGCACAGGTGGGTCCCTCAGCCTGGCCTGTGCCCTCTCTCATTTTGGGCTGAGGGTTGTCCCCCAAGTGCATGAATTTCATGCACCGGGCCTCTCGTACATAATAAGTTTGTTTATTCTTGTGCTAATTTTAAAAATTAGATTTATATTCTATGAAAACCACTTTTCAATCCCATATATTTGACAAACTTAAAAAAATATGTATCTATATCATGCTTTATTCTCTTTTGATTCTTTTTAAAATATATATATATATATTATTGTCCCTCCTGCACACCCACTACTGGGGATGTGCCCACAACCAAGGTACATGCCCTTGACTGGAATCGAACCTGGGACTTTTCAGTCCACAGGCCGATGCTCTAGCCACTGAGCCAAACTGGTTAGGACTCTCTTTTGATTCTTATAGCAATATATCTATCTTTATATAATGTGGTTTAGTGTTATGCTTTTCAAATGCGCATATTTTCATGTGTTGGCATTGCTTGCCTATTTATGTCTATATATAATTTTATTGATTTGATCTAAAAGTTTTTACATTGGGATGGTAATTTTTAAGTCAAATTTTTTACTTGGTATATTATCATACGTGAAAAACCCTTAATGAGGAATTTGCATTTACTGAATAGCTTGAGATTTTATCTTTGGCAAATATTAAATAGAAGGAAAAACTATGCACATTCTAGCATTAGCAACAAAAATTGGAACATAACCAGTAAGAGAATAGGTGAACCTGTTAGGCAGTCATTAAAAATACTCTTTTATGATATAATCTGTTGAGAAAAAAGTATTTAAATTGAATCTAGAGGTACCTGCATAACTAGCTAAATGGAGATGGATGGGGTTATTCCAGGCAATGGAATTAAACTCATGAACACATGTAGGACAGGAGGCCACATTCAGGGAGCTGTTGACTTTTTAATAGCTAGCATTGAGGGTGCACATGGGAGACTAGTAGAGATGAGGCTAGGAGGAAAATAGGTCATTAAAGATCTAGTTTGTAAAGTGAAAAAGTATGAAATTTCTCCTGGAAGTTATGAGAGAGAATCAGAACAATATTTAACATGAATAGGAGAAATGATATGATGTGGTAGTGGATGCATCTCTCCAAGTTTTGTTTGTATCTGAACACAAAAGTTTTGTTTTATACTGTTGCTGAACAAAGAATATTGTGACTTATGTTTTGCAATCCTATATAATAAAAGCCTAGGTGGCATCAATCCTCATGTGACATCCTCGTGCGATGTCATCACAAGATGGCTGCCACAAGATGACTGCCACAAGATGGGCAGCAGGAGAGGGCAGTTGTGGGCGATTGGGCCAGCAGGGGAGAGCAGTTGGGGGCCATCGGGCCAGCAAGGGAGGGCAGTTAAGGGCAATCAGGCCAGCAGGGGAGCAATTAGGCGTCAATCAGGCCGGCAGGGGAGCGGTTAGGGGGAGATCAGCTGGCAGGCAGAAGAGGTTAGGGGCAATCAGGCAGGCAGGCAGGCGAGCAGATAGGAGCCAGCAGTCCAGATTGTGAGAAGGATGTCCGACTACCAGTCAGTCCCATAGGGGTCCCAGATTGGAGAGGGTGCAGGCTGGGCTGAGGCACCTCCCCGCCCCACCATGCACGAATTTTATGCACTGGGCCTCTAGATTATATAATAATTTGTGTAATTAATCAAATTAATTTAGCTTGGCCATAGTGGCTCAGTAGGTTGAGCATTGTTCCATGCACCACAGGATTGCTAGTTTGATTCAGTCAGGGCTCATATCTGCGTTGCAGATCTGATCGACAGTCGGGGAGATTGTGGAAGGTAACTGATTGATGTTTCTCTCTCACATCAATGTTTCTGTCTCTTCCCTTTCCTCTCTCAAAGCATGTCTTCAAGTGAGGATAAAAAAAACCTACAGTATTTAAGAGAATGACTTGTTTTTCCTTGAACATTGGGATTTTATTTTGTCATCACTTACCAATTTTGGGTGGCATATTACTTGAGAACAGGCAGTATACCCTTAAGTTTCCTTAATGCCACACTATTTCTGGGGGAATGTTAAATATAGAGAAAGAAGGATGAAAGACTGAACATTCAAATTAAGGAAAAATGACAAGAGACAAGGGTACAAGGACTAAGAAGGATTGGAAGGAAAACAAGTAGGAAATTTAGATATATATTACATGAAATGAGGGAGAAATGGAAAACTATGCCTAATATTTTATTTCAAATCCACAAAAGACCTTATTGATATTTTTCCTTTTTTATTAAATTTATTGGGGTGACATTGGTTAATAAAATTATATAGGTTTCAAGTGACTTTTCTGTGATGCATGATCTGTCTATTACATGGTGTGTTTACCACCTAAAGTCAGATAATCTTTCATCACCATATATTAGGCCCCTTTAACTTTTACTATCTCCTAAACTCCTTATCTCTGGTAACCACAATACTGTTGTCTGTCTATGTTGTTTGTTAATTTGTTGCTTTTAGTTTTATACCCCACATATGAGTGAAATCATTATATGGTTCTTAACTTTTCCTGATGGACTTATTTTGCTTAGCATGATATTCTCAAAGTCCATCTGTGTTGTCACAAATGGTAGTATTTCATTTCTTATTATATCTGACTAGTATTCCATTATATATATGGACCACATCTTTATCCAATCATATATCAAAGGACAGTTCAGTTGTTTCCATGTCTTGGCCACTGTGAACATTACTACAATGAACATAGGGGTGCACATGATTGTGAACCTGTATTTTCAAATTTTACCCAAAAGGGAATTTTCTTCGTCATATGGTAAATCTATTCTTAATTTTTGAGGAACCACCCTACTGTTCTCTATAGTGGCTATACCAGTCTACACTCCCACCAGCAGTGAATGCAAGTTTCTTTTTTTTCACATCCTCTCCAATACTTGTTATTACTTGTCTTATCCTATATAATAAAAGGCTAATATGCAAATCATCCCCTCGGGAGTTTGACTGACCGGGAGTTTGACCACTCGCTATGACATGTGCTGAAAACCAGGGGGATGCGCTGAATGAAGGAAGGCCCCTGTTGGCAGCCAGCAGCCGGGGAAAGGAAGGCCTTGGCCAGCAGCTGGCAGCCTAACCGTACATGAATTTAATGCACCGGGCCTCTAGTCTCTATATATAACAGGCTAATATGCTAAGTGTCTGACCATTTGACTGGTCACTATGACACACACTGACCACCACAGGGCAGGTGCCAACACAGAAGCTGCCGAGCTGCAGTGACTTAGCAGCGGTGGTTCTCGGGTGATGCACCCCGAAACCAGACAGGAGAGAGCCCAATTTCTTGTGGGGGCCGCACGATTCCACCTTCGGCTATGAATTATGTTGTTGCTGGGGCACTGTTGGCCCTGCATCTGGTTTACTGCACACTTGCATTTGTGTTCCACACCCTGTATGACTGCAACTTTGCAGAGTGCCCTCTCACACTTGGGGACCCCTTAAGGGATGTCGGAGAGCCCATTTCAGCTCAATCCCCGCAGGCCAGGCCAAGGAACTCCCCCCCCCCCCCGCTGGAGGGACCACACTAATTCCACAGACGTCTTTCGAGCCATGGCACCCCAGGTGCAGCTGGCTGGGGAGGGACCACAGAAGGTTGGCTCCAGTGCATGTCTGGCCCGTCTTGCCCAGTCTTGCCCTGCCAGCCACCTTCTAATTAATTTCCTTTCAGTGTGCATGAATCTGTGCACTGTGTCACTAGTTTATAGTAGCCATTTTAAAGGTGTGAGATAATATCTCATTGTATTTTTTTGTTAATCCTCACGCAAGGATATTTTCTCCATTTATATTTAGAGAGAGTGGAAGGGAGAGGGAGAGACAGAGAGAGAGAAACATTGATGTGAGAGAGATATGTCAATAGGTTGCCTCCTGCACAGCTTGGGACTGAGCCTGTATCCGAGGTAGGTGCCCTTGACCGGAATTGAAGCCAGGACCTTTCAGTCCACAGGGTGATGCTCTCTCTACTGAGCCAAACCAGCTAGGGCTCATTGTAGTTTTTTTTGTTTTTTTTTCTGTTTGTTTGTTTGTTTTAAATATATTTTACTGATTTCTTACAGAGAGGAAGGGAGAGGGATAGAAAGCCAGAAACAACCATGAGAGAGAAACATGGATCAGCTGCCTCCTGCACGCCCCCCCACTGGGGATGTGCCCGCAACCAAGGTACATGCCCTTGACCGGAATCGAACCCAGGACCCTTGAGTCCGCAGGCCGAAGCTTTATCCACTGAGCTAAACCGGTTCTGGCCTCATTGTAGTTTTTATTTGCATTTCCCTAATAGCTATTGAAGTTGAGCATCTTTACATATACCTGTTGGCCATTTGTATGTGGCCTTGAGAGAAGTGTTTGTTCAGGTTCTCTGCCCATTTTTTAATTGGATTATTTGAGTTGTATGAGGTCTTTATACATTTTGGATATTAAACTCTTGTCAAAACTGTTGTTTGTAAATATAGTCTCCTGTTTTGTTGGTTGTCTTTTGTTTGTGGTTTCTTGTGCTGTGCAGAAATTTTTAGTTTGATAGAGACCCATTTTTTTATTTTTCCTTTGTTTCCCTTGCCCTTTGAGATATGTAAGAAAAAAATACTGTCTTTGCTCCATTGAGTGTTCTTGCCTCCTTTGTCAGATATAAATTGACCATAAAGATATGGGTTAATTTCTGGGCTCTCTGTTCTGTTCCATTGATCTAT